CATTTCAATAATTTTCAACGTTTTGCTTTTATGTGGCAAGCACAATAACCATACCGAGTTTGATACAAATTGGTACAACGGTTACCGAGATACATATATGCGATCATAAGTAGGCAGTGCCACGCCCATTTTCCAAAATTTTGCTATAAACGTATTTCTTGGTAAATAACTGTTGCAAGCATCAATTTTTAATAAATTAGCTTTAATATTTACAGATTTATCGAAGATTTCGCATTTCTCCAAATTACCGTTATATGGGATGTGGGCGTGGTTATTGTCCGATTTAAAAAATTTTTTCCATTTGGTATGCTGTACCAAAGTCAACAACTGTGCCAAGTTTGGAAGAAATCGGTGCAGTGGTTACCAAGATATACAACATGAACCATAAGTGGGCGTGTCTACGCCCATTTTCCAAAAATTTATAATATTCTTATCTTTGTTTAAAACTTATTGTAAATATCAATTTTGAGTGAATAATCTTCAGTAGTTACTAAAATATCGCAGTTTTCGTATTTCTGGAAATTACCATTATATGGGAAGTGGGCGTGGTTACAGTCCGATTTCGCCCATTTTCAATACCAACCTACCCTGGATTAAGGGAAACCTACATACCAAATTTGGTTGAGATATCTTAATTTTTGCTCGAGTTATCGTGTACACGGACGGACGGACAGACGGACGGACAGACAGACATGGCTTAATCGACTTCCGTATTCACTTCTATATCTATCTCGATTCGTTTTGGCTGTTACAAACGACCGTTATGTGAACAAAATTAATATACCCTTGTGCACAAGTGCGCTCGGGTATAAAAATATTTAGCAAAAACACAATTTTTTGTAGAAATTGTACAGAATTCTTCAAAATCAATATTTTTCGTTCAGAAAACTCTGTTTATCTTCAGGATACTTCCATTATTAATACCCCATTGTCTATTAGCCATTTTTTTAATAGTAATTTTTTTTATAGGTCCACAAAAAATGCAATCGGAGACCCATAAAAAATTGTTGGTATTAAAAAATGCCAAAATAAACAATTTGGTATTATTACTGAAAGAGAGGCAGAGTTTTCCGATCGAATAATATTGATTTTAAAGAATTCTATACCATTTCTATGCAAAATTGTCTTTCCCCTTATAAAATACATGGACAACTTTGAGCGTTTTGAGCGACCTCTTAAGTTTTTCTTTTTATTAAAAACAAACTGGTATATTTTTTAGATATACATACAACAATAATAAGGGGTGAGAGGGTTAAGATTTGGTCTTTACTTTTTTTTTTCAATGCATTTTTTGCCCACCCTAATGTATCTGCATATGTAATTGTTCAATTAATTCAATAAGTAGATATTTATCTTACTCGGCCTATTCATTCTAAAAAAATTTGAACTCTTTAAAACCAGACCAAAATGCAATTAATGCTTGCGTAATGATTAATTATGGGCAGGCAGACATACGAGTACAGTTATACATGCGTCTTTTTGTACGTACGCATGTATATGTATACAAGTACTTATGTATATACATATGTATGTATATCCAGTAGCTTATGTTTTAATTATGAAAGCTACAAAAGTGCCAACTAATTGCGTAAAATGCGCTGAATGTAGTTTTATTTAATTAGATCAAAAGTTAAGTTAGAGCACAAGAAGTAACTAAATACATACATACATACATACATAAGTATGCAGTTTGAAAAATCGTAGATGTGATGTACAAGGGAGTGCCAACAACACATACATACATACATATTCCAGCCTACACCACTTCGAGTTTACACTTAATTAAGATATTTATCTGCTTATGCGGTTATTAAGTAAGCTTCGCTTCCAGCGCAAAGTAGGTGTGACTAAGGCAAAATGTTTAAATTAACCAAATTACACATTATTGTGTAGCGAATTTATTTATTTTTTTAATAAACTTACTACTTACTATGAATCATACGCGCTTCTCTTTACCGAAAGGAACTAATTTTAATTTTAAATTATTAAATAATTTATGGAAGCAATAATTTCGCATTACATAACTTAATTTTTGAAAAAAAAAAATTGAGGTTAAACTAATTTCGGCAGCTGCGCTCTGTATGTTTTCCATCATTTGGCTTGGCTTATCGCTTTAGTGCTGTGGTATTGGCAAGTATTTATTGTACATACTTAAATAGCTAGACTGAAAGGAGAAATCTTATCAAAAACAATTCCAAAGATAAAGTTAATATTGCTTTCAGCCATTTGCTTGCTAACTGTTTTTGTGATTAGTTGTTATTTCATACAAAACTCATAGGTCTAGTCAAATACAATGATTAGGAGAAGGCAATGAGTGAAAGAGCTTAAGTAAATTCAAAAGAAAGGAAAGAGAATTGCTGGATGCCTGAAGAGAAATTCTTTTTTCCTTCTTTGCGACTCGGACCGCCAATCATAAGCCGCAGGATCTTAGTAAGGAAACTTGAATGGAACAAACCTACATAAATCCAAAAATGAGTGCAATGCTTGCTGGGGGGGAAGAAGACACAAAAAAGGGTCAAAACGATCCACACTGCTGAGAAATAGTAGGTTAAAAGATTCACATAAATATGCGCAAGAGTCCCAAGTTGATACCAAATTAGGTAAATCCCAAAACACTGTAAAACAAACTGTGACGTTTAGGAAAAAACCACTCGAGTTAAATATTCTAGAGTTCTTTGTGTCTTGTTTTTTACTGTCGCACAGTGCAATCTCATTAATAAACCCAATAAAGAATAGCTATGGAATTTTTTTTCGTTTTTTCACCTGTTTTACCCTTTGGCCTGCATACTTTCAAAAAGAATATTTTCTAGTTTTTAACCGACTTCCAAAAAAGGAGGAGGTTATCAGTTCGTCGGAATATTTTTTTTTCTTTTTTTTTTTTTATGTATGTTACCGCATAACTTTGCACCACGTCAACCGATTTCAATAATTCTGTTTGCAACGGAAAGGTAGTGTCTCAGAGGTGGTCCCAACGGTTTAGATCCGATCATTGGATCATGAAATATATAGATATATACATATTTTTTTAAGTCGGTTTTTTTTTGCTAAAAATTACTTGTTTTTTTTTAACAATATATCATATTTTGCTCTGATTAAAATTCTTACTACTTAGGTTCTCTGAAAGAAAACGTCAGGCAAGCTGAGATTGAATACTGGTTGTCTAATGGAGAAACTGCAGCTTTTATCAATTTTAACTTCTCTGTTTCGGCAAACACTTTTCGACGATTTAATGGTAAGATGATGCAACTTCTAGGCGGGATTAGAGTAGAGGAAGGGTACTAATTGAGGAGAATTCTGCTGACGTCTATACCGACTGGTCCAAAACAGACTGTGGTGTGACTGCAGGCCTATTCCCTGAAATGCTGGAGATACATACATATCTCTCTCGTTGCAGCTACCTAAATTTGCTAGCATCTTCCAAGCAGAAGTGATGTAGATTGAGAGGGCTATAGGGTACTGAAAAGAAACCGTGAATGACTATAAGAAGTATACACTTTCCGAGATAGCCAAGCGGAACTTCTGACACAATGATTGCAAGTATACGTTAATCTCAGTCATCTGGGTTCCCAGCTACATATAGAACATACTCAAGAATAATAGAATACAAGATTGCGCCCATCAGAGAGGATTTTTGAGAATAATTTTTGGGCGACGTCACACTGCTGCAGTTGCGAGAGAGAAATGCCAAACCGCGAGCAAGAATGGAAGAAGGAGATGAAATTTCGCAAGAAAAACGTAAATAAGTTGCACAAGTGTGACGACGTCATACAAACAGCGATTCTGTCAAATTCACTGAGAGCGGAATAGCGGTACCGAGATGAGCGCCACCTTTTTTTCTCTACATCGTGGAACATACTCATATATGGTAACGAGTAACGAGTAGTATGGGTCTTGCAACAATTTTTCGAATTTTTTTGGTGCTGCCGTGTTATCTTTGCAGGTGGAAGACATGAAACTTTAGGTAAATTCTTTATGCAAAACGGTATTACATGGTTGCCTTATAAAGCAGCTCCAATGGCTTCATTTCCGGAAAATTTAAGAAGAGGAGAATAAGAGCTCTCTCTACAGTGGTTTTCCAATGGTCCAGATGGTTTAGGAAGGCCTTTATAAACTGGGTGAGATGACTTCAAATTAAGCATATTGCATATTGATAAGTTCTCCCCCTGTCTCTGTGGGGGATCTTTAACTGGACAAACGGATTGTCCAGTTGAAATAATTGGAAAGTTGTCTCTAGTGTTGCCAAAACGATGTTGAAATTCTGCATAGTGTGAACAAGGTTCTGCGAGCAAGTAATACATATACATATGTATGTATACCGTTGGCAGAATACTGGGTTTCATTAAGTGCCTATGCGAGATAGAGACGCTCAGCACTCTATGCATGACATTATGCCGCAGAGTAGGCGGTAGATACGTTGAGTAGGTGGTCTCGGGATATCCTGAATACGAAGAGAGTCTGAATGCCCCGGATGCCTTGGAGAATGAGCATAAGTATACGGGGTGGACAAGACCACCCGTCCAACCCTCTAAAGTGTAGGGAAATTTGTTTTTTTTATTGAATAACGGAAAAATATGATCTACCAAATCGGAGATGTTCTATCTACTGGTGGTATTACCGGCTTCCTGCTTAAACTGGAGGCAAGGTATTAATTACTTCGGTAACTTTCCTTCTTTGCTTTGTTTTCGGGCTGCCCACCTAAAAATGACTTTCATGTTTTAGGAACGGTCGGTGGCCAATTCGGTGGCTTCATCTAACCTCATCAAAAATTTGAGTGCATTCTCTCTTGCACTCAGCCGCCGCCAAAACTCTTCAACTCACGAATGCCTCTTAAAAATGCCACAATCACACACGCTTTGCGCTATCAACCGTTTCCAGTCAACAATTTACGATCAAGTAAGTGATTCTCCACATTGCCTCCATTGCTCGTATCTGTGTGGGTGTGAGTGTGCATGTATCGCCCAGCCAGCAGTGGGGCTCCAGGCCGCCACACTGACTAACACACCAAGTGGCTATTCATTCGAGTATCTGAGTACGTGGAGATCGGTGGTTCGGTACGGTTATATGAATTTCAACGTTGCGGCAAAACGACGCAACAACAACAAAAACCAAAAATAAAAACAGCAAAGCAAATAGCTATAGAACGAACGAGAGGGTGTGGGCGTTAGACGTGTGCGATAAGAAACTACAAACGTCCATACATCGTTGCATACTAAAAATATATCTATGTATGTAGAAAAGAACGATTCAGCAGAGTGCGGATAAAACCAAAAACAGTGCTGGTAGTACCTGGCTAGTAGTGTTGGTGTTTATGTGCGCGCATGTTTTTAGTTTTCAAAGCAGCTGACGTGCAAAAAAAAAAAAAAATTAAAAATAAAAATTATTGAACAAATAAATAAAGTAAATAAAAATTGTTTCAAGTTGAAAGTGTTCGATAAGCCATACACCAAAGCGAATTGAAATCAAGTAAAGTAAAAAAAAAGCGTAAGCGTATAGCCAATTGAGCAGCAGCGGTCAACAGCGTATAAAATAATTTATCGAAAATCGCATAAATCGAGGCGTTGGATAATTATTGTGTACGTGTTATATACAATTTTGGTTGTTGTTTAAAAAAAAAGAAAAATTATTTTTATTTTTGTTCTTATTGTATGCAAGTATGTATGGTAATGAGCGAAATTGTGTTGTTGTAAAAGTAGTGTAATACACGGCAGTCTTGTAAGTTTGGTACATATAAATATTTTATGGTTTATTTTTGCGCTCGTGCAAATGACGTAATGACCTTGTGTGCTGTCATTACCGCTGCCGTTGTATGCGGCGTCGACTGTCACTGTCATTGCTACCTCTTTACTTTTGCATGTAAATACGTACCTATGTATGTTTAGTATAATAAATAATTAGTTTGCAATTGGTATAAAGATATTTATCAAAGTTAATTTTATGTATGCAGCTGTCTCGCTAACTTTTCGAGTTATCAATATTCGGTATTATGTACACCTCTGTACGAAATAATAAAGATGTTTTTTTTTATAAATGGTTTTCCATTCATTTATTTTTTAGTATAGTTTAATTGCGTTATGTTATACTGTATAAATCAAAGCATCAAAGTTTGTGTAAAATTCGCGAAAATTAAACAAATTGCCAGCAAAAAAATTTGCGCACATGGAATTAGACTCAAAGAGTCAGGCTGTTGGAGAGCACTGCCGCACGGTTGTCGTGGTATTCTTGACAAGCTTATCGAATTTTCGAAGCAATGAGCCTCCTATAAAACTCCTACGATAGCTTTCAAAAAAAAATGAGCTGAAGTTTCCTTTTAGATGGTATTGGAGTAGGGATAGGATAGTCGAGGAGTATTCCACTAAAATCTATACTGACGGGTCCAAAATGGACTGCAGTGTAGGTGTTCTCTAAGATGTTGAATGTCTCTCTCTCGTTCCGAAGTCGTGAAAATCGGGAGGGCCTGCAAAGCGGAGATGGAAAATCAAAACATCAAATTGTACTTAATTTTAGGAAAAAGTGTACCGAAAAGCTGACGAGTGTTCCTAAAAAAATACAACAGGAATCAGCCATGCTTGATTTTGGAATTCACCTTCTGTAATACATTAAGCTCTGTTCAAACTGGAAGAACTTTTCGGGGCCCAACAAAGTTTTGGACAAGGTGAATTATTCTATTGCCTCAACCCCTCTCTACGTGGTGCAACCACTCACTGGCAGCTCTTTTGACTATGCTTCTGAAACGATTAAGAGAAATGTATTCTATCATTCTTGTATTTTAGCCAGGCTCTCGCATACGCGTGGTCTCTTCGTATGTCGCCAAAATGTTAATTTAATTTATTGAGTTTTATTGAGTCCTTTTAGACCGCCTGAAATCGGGCTTTCATTGGCGGGACGCGGTTTGACTTCGGTCTGAAGCGAACACATATCAAAATCTCTTACTAACCCAACTATATACCGTATGTGTCCACAAGTACAAAACCGGTTTCAGACGGTCTGAAAATACTACTGTATTTTCGCGTGTTAGTCTGCACAGACCGTCTGAGAAGACTAATGTGTCGAGGTTCATTCGTTCCATTTAAAAATGAGTTTGCACTTATTTCACATTTAAGTCAATTACATTTGAACTTTTCGTGCCCTTACTCAAGAATTAAGAAAATTGGTTTAACGGTGACTGAGGAAAGCATGAGAAAAACAAAAATACGTACGATAGGTTAGCGGCCATAGGAAGATATACGGAACTGACAGGTCTAATGAATTGGTTTAAACCGGATCATCTCTTGATGATTACGAAGCAGGAACTCATCAAACCGGAAATGAACAACCTTCAAACCTGCAAAACTTCGAGATATATATGGGCTCATTATGGCAAATGAAAGACAGAGGAACTTTTAAAGCGGTCGACGAACTTCCTAGCTCCTAAATAGTTACCAACGTAAGGCTATTGTTTTAACGCCATAGGTCATTACATTATTTGGGAGCTAGCGTATAGATAACTGACCTTGTAAGTACATTGAATCCTAGATATTCTAGAGGGGTTTCTAAATAACACTTACTAAGGATATTTTTTGCCGAAAACCAGCACCGAATAGCCAACACAAAATTTCGCATGTTACATCCAGTCCGGGTTAAGTTAAGTTTTGGGAGGAGCTCAAAGAAGGGCTCACTTTGAAATTAATTAAATTTTCCATTGTAAAATTCCTTGAACGGTAGCTACAGGTAATCTGTGTTGGGTTAAGAGAAGCGCTGGGTGCTTAAAGCTGATGTCTACTTCGAAAAGTTCCTCAGAAGTGTTGATGAAATACGCGCCGAGGCGTTTGAACCTTAGTCTAGCGAATGAGAAGCAAGTGCTGAGATGATTAAACCTCGACCTCCAAGCAGCTGCTGCAGTAGGAGTCCGTAACGATCCACATGGACTGTCAGCGGTCAACAACGGTCAGTAGGACCCTGTAACTTTGTGTAAGAGGGTTTTGGCCGACTGTAAGCCCATCTGTCCAGGAGAAGACCGAAAGTTGGTAAAGGAACTTCTATGTCCTCACTGTCCGAGGTGAACCCTGTCTAGCCAAATCATCTGCCCTAAATTTCGTGGCGATTGAGATAGAGATGAGGCATCCCCCGACCAATTTCAGATATCAGAGTAGATATTTAACCTTCTAATCGGCAAAATGCTGGTGCATCTTGTGGGATTTATAGTGACCCTCTTTGCCTGAAATACGCAGCAGAAATGCGTCAGCCTTAACATGCCATTTATTGAGAGTTACCGACAGAAAACACCACCTCAAACTTTGCTATTCAGCTTCGATCCATTCGTTAAGGATATTAATTGGACCTCTACTGCAGAAGCTGCCATTCTCACATTCGCCTCGTTGAGGGATGTGTGCGGAGAAGGATTTGTTCGAGGTCCATTGTTCCTAGTCCGGGTACTTAGAAACAAAATTGTTATTAAAAAAATATAGCCAGGGGCAGATTATTTATGACAGATTCGGACCAAACCCAAAAAAGCACAATTTCAATCAAGAAAACGCATCCAAGTCTGGATTAAGCGAGGTTATTGTGAGATTACAAGGTCATTAGGATTAAACGGTTTGTGTCGATGTCAGACCTCATCTAACACACAACGATGCATATGTAGACGGACAGCGGTACCGAACCATTTATCATTCGTTAAACAAAGAAATTACACTTTAGAGTCGGATGTTCTGAGAATGAATCAGCCGCATTCTCCGTACGTCAGTTGGGTTTTCGAATTCATTAAGAAGAGAAGTTTGAAGAGTTAATCTTATAATAGCGATGGCATTCAATCAAGATTTTATTTAAATAAAATAAGCTACTGGCGATCTTATTACCGTGAAATCATAATTTCTCTAACTGAACATGGAAATCCGTCACGTTTGAATAAGCAGTCCTTCGTCAAAGTAGGTGATTAGAACGATGTCTGAGTGTCTCAAAACCTAGCCAATATTATCGAAAAATATTTAAGTTTCATATTAATTATCACGGTGTGTTTATTAGCGTCTCTTTTGTGGCCTTTCAACAAAACAAAATAAAACAAACTTAACATTGTCGGCAATTTGAGTAAAAACGCAATTGGGTAAGACGTGAAAAAGTGTTAAATGCTGTTTTAGACACATTGCCAGTGAGTGGTGTCGCTTGGCAGTGTTAAATAAATTAAGTAAAAATAAATAAAATGCAATAAAATAAAGTATAAGTATACCAATATACAATATGTAGGTCCCAAGTTTCCACATTAAAGCAATAAGTCATTTTTATGTAAGCTGTTAGTAGGTGCCGCAAAAAGAAGCAACTCGATGTTAAGCAGTTAACGGAGCCAACTAAGTAACAGGAAAAACCTTTCTGTCTTAACTAGTCACACAAACCGCCGACCGCTAGACGGAACCGACATAACTACAATAGTATATGCTTACATGCGTACACTGATGGTCAAAACATATGGAACTACAACCAAAATTTGTGAAAGTCCAACCAATATTAGTTTTTAAGGTAAAAACTGTGTGTGTGTGAATGTGACAAAAATGCTTAGATATTCTTAGTCAAAAATTACATTTTTATCACAACACAGAGTTAAAATACCTAGTCAATAATTCAATGGCGAAAAAAAAATATGGAACAAAACAGCAAAGGATACTATTTGATATATATTATAACCAGGGAACGGATTTTTAGGACCTAAAAACCTATAAAAAAGGCAAAATAAAGTAACGAAATAGGCTGGAAAAGGCAAAATAAAATAGCGAAAAAGGCAGGAAAAGGCACTAGGTATTGGAAAAAAGGCAAAAAAAGGCAAAATGAAATAGCGAAAAAGGCAGGAAAAGGCAAAAAAAAGGTATTGCAAAAAAGGCAAAATAAAAAAAAGACAGAAAGTACGAAGAACAATCAAAAAATATATTTATTTTAGAAATGTTTATATTAAAAGTAAAAAGAGAAAAACTATGAACTAGTTTCATTATATGAAAAATTTGTACTTTGAATCTTTGACTATTTTATCCTTTCGAGTTTCTAACTCATAAAACTTTAATCTGTATAGTTGTAGTAACATTGAACCACAAGATGCATTTTGAAGTTTTCTGGCAGCATTTTCATTCGATTTTCGCGAAGAAAAGCCTTGAATGTACTAAATGTGCGCTCGACGTAAGTTGATACAAGTGGAGCCCAATTTAAATATGGAACGTTTGAAACGTTCATATTATCAGGAATAAGGGCGTTTTCCTAGCCCTTTACAATTTTATCCACACCCCTTATTGTCTCTAAGCCTACGTTAGCCATTTTTCCAACACCAGTTTGGCAAGAGGTCCCTGCGCTTCTATAAGCCGCATGGGCATGTTTATATTTTTTAATCTTAAAAAAAAAATTGTAAATGCTATAATCACTTTTTTAAAGGTAGAAAAGGCAAAAAACGGCAAAAATCTTAAAAAAGGCAAAAAAAAGGCAAATATCTTAAAAAAGGCAAAAAAAGGCAACATCAAATGTGTATATATGTAATCAGGGAAAGCTAAATCGTGGACATTCTTAATCGAATATACTCTATCTCTTTAGCAGAAAAAAAGGCAATTTCCATAAAATCCGTTCCCTGATTATAACCTAGTGGG